GGAGGCAAATCACATTGTGCTCCCCTCTCTCCCTGGAAATCTTCATCCTTGAAAAATCAAGTGAAAAATTGCCTTTAAAAATTTTGTTGAAATGAGAAGGGGCAGCCTTGGAGGAGGTTTTGAGAAATGAAGGATGATCAAGGTGACCACTTTTTCTTTTCTTGGTAGTAGAAGGATTGCTTGCCTATCTACAATTTGTCTGTTGATAATCTCTCACCCTTTCCCCAACACTGTTTGGCCCTGGGTCCCTTCCTTACTTGTGCATGGACTGCAACCAAGACTCCAGTTCACTTCAGGGCCATGAATCCTCGAGAGTTAAAGTCGTAATGATGCGTTTTGTGTGTAGAGGGTTTTTTTGGTAAGGGGAGGAGTGGCGGGGTGTAGAGATTTATAATGTAAACAGAAAATTAATCAGGTAGACTTCATTCTAATGAGACTAAAATGCCACAACGCTTATCATTCTTCAATTCTCAAAACCTCCTTTAAGGCTCCCTTTTCTCATACAGAGATCTTTAAATGTAATTTTTTTGTTTATTCCATAGAGATCAAGATTTTCCAGGGAGGAAGGGGAGCACACAATATAATTTGTCTTCCCTTGGGGTTGTCCAATGGGATCTTCTTTTTGTAAGTCAAAATGATAATTTACTAATTTATAATGTGTGAATGGCAGGGAGAGAGGGAAGGAGGAAGAGAGTCAGGTAGGGAAGATGAATAAATGAGTGAATGAATATGGAGGAGTAGATCTTTCCTTACCTAAAATAAAATGTCATATCTACCACCATTTGGGCACCAAATATTTTCCTTTTCCTTCCTTTCTTTCTTTTTTTTTTTTTTTCTTTTGTGGTGTTGAGGATTGAACCCAAGAGGGCCTTGCATATACTAGGCTAATGTTCTATTACTGAGCTATATCCTCAGCCTTGGGCACCAAATATTTTATCAGATGGTTCTTTTGTGAGCATAGGATTTGGGATATTTTGCTAATAAATACTTACTCAAACATTTTCAGAGGTGGACTCCTTAAGCTGAGGGTAGGGCAAAAAAAGAGAGAAAGGATTTATATTTTCAAGGAATGGTTAATAAGGGTTATTTATTGGTTTTTTGAGACAAAGCCTTGCTTTGTAGTTCAGTTTTGGTTTTTTGAGATAAAGTCTCTCCTTGAACTCATTATGTTGCCCAGGCTGACCTCAAACTCATAGTGATACTCCTGCCTCAGCCTCCTGAGTCCTGGGATTACAGGCATGTGCCACCATGTCCACTATTAAGAGGTGTTTTTTTAGAAGACTACCTTATTATTATATATGTATTTATGAAAAATCATCTATGGTGATTTGAAAATTCTATATAAATATTATAAAGTGAATAGCTTATTTCAAATGTCATATTCTAGTTTTTCACAGATGATTTAATTTTAAACACTATCAAAATGAAAGAGGAGATAAGAAAACAGAATATATAAAAATCCTCCATTTTAGTAAGTTTTATTTCCTAGTTTTGTTCTACACCACAAAAAAAGGCCTACTGAGGTGATTATCAATCCAAAATCCAAGAACCTGTTTACAGTATTCAGATATGGAAAATTCTAGAGTAAAATTCATGCAACAAAATACCTAAGTTAAAGCTTCCTTATTGGCAGGTCTTTCTAAATCCTACCCACTACAATACTTAATAGAATGTCGCTCATGTAGTGGTTACCATCTGCCAAGCAGAGCAAATTGTTGATTTGTGTTGAATAAGTAAAATATTCATAAACTATTTTTTTGAGATAATACTATTTAAAAATAAAAATAACTGACAATCACAAATATTACTAAGTAGGATAGCCTGGCTAGTAGAAATTTCAAAATGGAAAAGGTATTCTGGAACACATTTGAGTAGCTTCTTAAGTTAAATGTGCACGTAACGTATGCCCTAACAATCCTATGCCTAAGCATTTAAAAAAAATAAAAATGCATGTTCATACAAAAATGTATAAGGCAAAGATTAATAGTAGCTGCTTTCATAACTGCTAGAAAATGAAAACAATTCAATACCCTTCAGTTGATGAAGGGATTTTTAAAGACCCTAAAACTGTGACACCTGTACACAATGGCATACTATACACCCATTAACATTGATGTATATCAAATATTATTATACTAAATGAAAAATGCCAGGCTCAAACTGCATACTGCATGATTACATGATTTACATTCTAGAACAGGAAAAGATACAAAGCAGAAGACAGATCAGTAGATGCCAAGGTCGGGGGGGGGGGATGGAATTTAACTACAAAGGGATACAACAGAATTCTAGGCACAGGTAAAATTCTTTTATAACCCGATTGTGGTGGTGATTATATGACTATGAGTATTTGTAAATGCTCTTAGACATGTACAGTAAAAGCGGTAAATGTTACTGTATGGACATTTACTTATTAATAAATCAAACACACCTACACACATATATTAAACACAAACACACACACACACACACACACACTTCCCACACATTGTACTTGTTCATTTGCATCCCTGAATGAAATTACTTTTAAATTATTTTCCTAAATTTGCTGCAGTATAAAAAAAATATTCTAGCCAGAAGTGTAATTGTTTTTATAATTACTGTAAGTTTCAGGCTTCTAGGCTACTTTCCAACTCTATTCCATTAGTCTTATCTCAATGAAAAGACCTAGTATAAGAGCCATTTGAATTAATTCTCTATATTCTGGCTTATGAGTATATTTTTTATGAGAAAAAGACATATGAAACTGAATACAAGAGCTGGGTACGGAGACACATGCCTGTAATCCCACCAATTGAAAGGCTGAGGCAGGAAGATCACTATGAATTCGAGGTCAGTGTGGGCTACATACCAAAACCTTGTCACAAAAAACTTTTAAAAAGTTTCTGAGTACAAAATATTAGCCAAATTATAATATGGGAAAAAATCCCAATGCTAGTACCATTTTCACTGATCTTCTGTTCATGCCTTGGCCCTAAAATGAAATCCTGTGGATAAAATACAAATGGCTCCACCAGTAAGGCCTCTAGAGGGCCTGAGGAGGTTTTCTTCCCTAAAGAGTGAAAATAACTACTTACTTTACTGACATTATCTGTCTATAAATAAAAATGGGCTCTTTTGTCTATCTAGATTGTGTTTACATGATATCAAAGCATGACTTATGCTTCACCTCTTAGAAATTGTCTCTACATTTAAATGTAATAGTTGGGTATTTAATTTCAATACATAAAAATATAAAGAAGGTGACATAAAAGCTCCAACAATTATTTTACAGAATAACCAGCCTATATTAAAGGCAAGTTTTCTTTTTCATACAACAAAAAAAAGATATTTGGCATTCAGAAATAAGGAAATGGAAGTATATTAAAGGTATAACTAAAAGTTAGCAATTATTTTTTATGAGCCTAATTTGTTAAATGGCAAAATCTTCTTTCCGGAGAAAATTTCCTGTAGATGTAGAACAAAATTTTACTACCAGAGCAAATGGCAAAATTAACTTCAGCAGCAGCTAGATCATAGTGGTCTCCTATCTGAGATGTTTACTTGAGATTTTTGAATCACTAGCTTCTCTTGTTTTCTGTTCAAAGTGGCAATACAATTTATCAGAGTTTAGACTTTGGAGTCACAAAAACTGGAAATCAAGGAGCCTACCAAGTGTGAAAAGTGTGACCTTGTACAAATTAAATTACCTAAACATCCTTGTGACTCTTCATCTGTAAAATCATTATGAAAGTGGTATAGCATCTTATAAAGATATTATGGGATACAATGAGATAATCTATGAAAAGTCCTTGGCACAGTACCTTGTAGATGATAAACTTTAAATACATGGTGGTACATGGTGGCTACTGGTATTAACCCCTAAATTATCAATCTTTGATTCTCATAAAAAATGAATATGACTGTATTGAAAAGATTACCTTTTCTATAATCCTCTCTGATTATCCCTCAATAATACGATATTCAAATTCAAGAAGTTATTGGTCTACTTGTAATCCCTAACCACTCAGTAACTTGCTGGGATAGAACAAATGACATCAATGATGTTGCATTTATTTGTGTAAAACTCTTAAATATCTAGCATTTTTTTCCAAAGGACATAACAAAACAAAAATAATATGGTGAAGTAAAAAGTTATGGAACTAGACAAAAGGAAAGATCTGAATTCTAAAGAGTAAAATGCAATGGAGTAAGGAAATGGGAGAATGGAAGGGCTACAGGCATCCTCTCTATAGCTCTAAGATATATAACACTGCCAAATACCTTCTTCCTTCACAAAATGTTCCTCGATTTTCATAACAAGCCTCTCTTCCATTATTCTTCCCCAGCTATGCCTAAAATTCTCTGTACAACAGGATACTCTCACTTTCCACATAGCAATTATTTCTCAAAAGGAATAGAACTTTTAACTTCCTCTCTTCCCTTTGGGACTAATTACTA